CAATGAGCTTCACTCAATGGGGAAAAAAACAATCTATCAGTACTCTATCAAAAAAAAAAAATCTATCAGTACCTGTCGCTTTGGTCCCCACTGTTACTTCACCATTTCATCTATGTAAAAGCAAAGCAAACTAAATTATGCATATTTTCTAGGAAAAGATAAAAGACAAATGGTCCAACTTCAGTGTCAACAGGTAATTAAAACAAACTGCAGAACAAAGTCTCTATGAATAAAACTGCCAAATGGGCTTATGCCACTCAATGTCCACAATAAAGAAAAGGAAAGTATTTTTAAAATCTAGTTTAAATCGCATATAAGTTTTTATAAATATATATTTTTTGCATTCATAAGTTTTGAAAAACAATTGTAAAAAAAAGTTTACACTATAAAAATATCATGTGGTGAAACCACCATAAATATCACAAATCTTCTGGAGTCAGACCACATGACATTTTACAACCTGATCTAACCTTGCCTTGTCAAATACAACTGAAATATCAGTTATCTAAAATTAAGAGACTTACTAATTTTGTTGGTTGCGTCACGTGACTTGGCACACGTGAGGCTTCAAGCATTTACAAGCAGACAGTTTTTGTTAAATATATATTTTTGCCTAAGAAATACTAATATTAAAAGATTATGTGAGACTACTCAAGGTTTACTTTTTAAGAATATTTTTATTCATTATTATTCAAGGACTGTTGTAACACCCTGCCATTATGAAATAAAAAATATGCTTATCATTAAAGAGGTATTCAAGTCATTGTACGCATTTTTTGACAAAATTCATTGAGCCATAGAATAGTTGAATGAAGGGAGCTCACAGCTGAATCTTGGCAGCAGACTAAACACAATAAATAGGCTAAGGTGGAAAACTCTACAAATGGTTTAACTGAGGTTGAATGTAGGTTCAAATATAAATTAACCATCTTAATGTTAAGAATGCATTAGGCCAGACATAACTCTTTTCCCAGCAACATTTTGTTTTATGTGTCCTCATTCAATATTAGTGAAACAATACATTGGATTCTTAATTAGTCAACCAAGAGAGACCCAAAAGTGTTATATTGTGTCCTGAAATAAAGAAATATGAACTTAGGGGCTTTCACTGTTTCAGCATTTTCAAAATGAAGAGTGCACAGAGAAGTGCATCACAACCAAAGACTCAGGAACATACCAGAGCATTCATTCTGGACAAGCTTTTTCATCACAAGCAATGGTGTTTGGCCCCAAACAAAACCCTCCTTCATTCCTGCAAAATCGCCATTCCGGGCCTCCCTCTCACAGCTCTGGAGTTTCACCAGAGCCATGATGTATCACATATCTCTGTGTTTTTCCTGCATGTCCATGTCTGGGAGCCAAGGGTCAAAGGGTGAAATAAAGCAAAAGCTATTTTAAGTCTGACAGGGCCTTGAAAGTCAGAACTCACTGCTGTCCCTGCAGCGATACTTGTACTGAGGCCCCGTTCCAACAAAGGTGTGGTTTGTTACAAACTCAAAAAAAAGAAAAAAGAAAAAGATACATGAGAGGGGATTACTGGGTGTTCTCTTGACCCTTCAAGGCCCTGGAGAAGAAAATGTTTAAAATTTTTACCAGCTGGACAAGTCTTGTTCACACACAGGGAGTAAGTGCAAGTGTTGGACATGCTCTAAAAACATGGGAATAACATAGGAGTATTATTGCAGTGTGGCCATCGACATGTTTGCAACATTCAGACCATAAATCACTTTCTTTGGATTACACGCCATTATCAGCAGAACAGAAAACCCACAGACACTGACCTTAACCAGATTAAATCTATATGCCATGTTAAATCATTTACACTCGAGTCCAAATCAAGATTCGCAATATTGCTTGAAACAGCGTTTTTTTTCCTATTGAAAGATAGGCTATTTTTCATTTACAGCAGGAGATCGAAAAATGTGGGCTGTGTGCTGTTTGCTAAACATATCATCAAATCTTGTAAAGCCTGCTTAATATTTAAAGTCCTGGCTATCCGGACTAATGGCACAGTGCAAGAATAAGCTATTAAAAAGTCAATAGTTTTATTAAGACAAATGATGGCATATAGAGAAGAGGTTATTCTGATTAGTGTGGTTCATGCTTTTTAAAGGGGCAGATGTAAAATAGGCTTCTTTATCAGAAGAGCATCAGAAGTGTGCATTTTAATCAGATTTCTCACTTTTGTCTCACTTGACAAACAAATCTCTTTCAAATCAGATCTTCTAAACAATGAAATGTCAAGTTAGATGCTTTGTATTGTGGGATACCATATCGATCGGTCATCTGGAAATTACATAAATACCAAAAAATGCACAGTTTGTATAGTGGGCATTGTATGCATTGTAGAAGAGCTTTCAAGGGTGCATTTCCGATTTCTCTTCAGAAATACTAGCTTACGATGCACTGGATACTACACAACATATACTGTATTCTGCCTACTATTTATAAATTTAAAGAAATATACAAAAGGTAACACATTATATATATACACTCATAAATTTAATTTGTCTCATCGGAAATGGAAAGTCAAGTCAAGAAAGTCAAGACCGATGCAATACTGCACAGTCATCTGGAAATTCCAAACATACATACTATGCATTGTAGAAACGGTAAGACAGGTATGGTAGTACACTATTTCGAACACTGCTGGTCTTCCCAAACTTTAAACATTTAGGCTGCTAACACACCAACAAGTTCTGAGTATAAACAGTGCAAACAGAGTCGTGAAGACACTTTGGCAGCAATAAAACTTCATTCAGATGAATAATGTGACTTTTAAACACAATAAATTAGTATTTTGACTATGTTTCATGAGTCCATCCAAGCTACTGAGACTAAAAGAGCATGAATCACTCAGCTGTGTCTCCTACAGTGAGCAAGCTTGATTCAACATGTAGCCAAGACCTAACAGCACATTAGCATCTCCAAAATCTTATGACGATGATGTAGGCGTTAATTGCTTTGACACTCTAAATCTGGCAATAATCCTTATTAAACTCAACTTGCATGTGATTTAAAGAGCACACAAGCACATCTGGCTCACATCAGAGGTCATCATCTGCAAGAAACACAACCGGCTGCTAAAACATGAGGCGTTGCATGAGAATTTCAACATGGCAATCTAGAACACTAAACCAACATACATTTTTCCAAAACATATTCTTTTTCAGTATATTTAAATCAAAAGTGAATTGATTGATTTAATTCAGAAGCGTGATTTTACCTTTTTAATATAGAAAAGCTATCTATATTAGAGAGAGAACGATGTCAGATGACTATCAACACTACAACACTATCCAGGCAGACCACTTCCACTGCACTCTTGTCTTTCTTCACTCTATTTTCGCTGTTTACACAATCTTTATGCAGAGAAAGTCTTGGAGGGCCATTACAAATATTAAAAACAAGACAGGCCTTTCATGTCTTACTACTTTGGTCTTTTTCCTCTGAAATACATGCTCGCATGCACTCTGACACATTGACAGGCGGCAGGAATCAATGCTGTGGTTGACCTCCATGGCCAGTGGTTTGGTTCACTGAGTGTGAGGCTCCACAACAAAGAGTAGTGAACTCAGCAGCCCTGACCTTCCATACCTCTCCTCCTCACATCTGGCCAGCCAAGCAGGCAACACGAAAACACTACAATAAGACACAAAACAACCCACTTTTCACTGACATGAGCAAGGCTTTAATTGAGGTAGGGACTACCTGATGTACTCCACAACAGAGTTTTTCAAATTGATATAACAAGAGTCTCTGGAGCAGTGAAGACACATTGAATTTTAATTATGGAAAGAAAAAAAAATCAAGAAGAATATCCAAATTAATAATATTCTTTAGGGTTCAAAGATACAGATTAGAACATTCTCATGAAAAAGTACAAACTAAGGATAAGCATTTTAGTAATCTGTCTATTCAAGTACTCGGCTGATAAATCAAAAACGCAATCAAATCAGATGCCTTACCTAATCCTCAAAGACGGGAATGGATATCATATAGAATCATCACCATCAACTAGCATAGCTAATACTAACATCCTGGAAGAGGAGAAAAAAAGTTTCAGATGGCATAGGCTCTTAAGCATGTGTTGACACTAGGAGCTTCGACAGAAACAGGAGCTTCTGGCCAGCAAAGAAGTATGAGACACTCTAGGAAGGCCCACTTGATAAATCTTGAAAGCAATTGAAAAAGACCCATCAAAGAAATAGTCAAATGAAGCGAGAAGACATGTTCTGTGTAATTTCAATTTAGAGGAAACTTGACGCCTTCAACTCTACTGATTACATGCCTTACTGTTGTTTTGTGTACATAAAAGGTATATCAGCCATGGTGCGCTAATGTAGACATTGTAACTTTGTAACTTATAAAACAATATAGCTAAGTGGGTTTGTGGTGGATTTGCTCCCATCAGAAAATGATACGATCCCCCTGTAGGCACAGGGCCTAATTTAAAAATTGAAAAACTACACACGTCACATTTAATCAGTATATTCCCAATAATTACTTACTTTGATGAAGAACAGCATCATTAAGCCATAAAAAAGACATTAAAATAATACTTATGGTACAACAAAATTATTCAACAAAAAATAATAATGATGATGACTACATTATTCATAAGTGTTTTTAAAAGGCAACTTGGGCCATGTTCTGTATTTCTGGATCCACTGATGGCCCACATCTGCATGGCCTGTCAGTTCTCCGACGGTCTGTGTGAGGTGGATGAAAGCCATGACCAAATAAACTGACAGAGCCAAACCTTTCCCTCCATTCACCTGCTCTCCTCTCAGCCTGAACCTACAGTCTCTCTCCAGTGTGCCTCTGTTTCAGTGCAAGATCATTTGTATCAAATCACCAAATACACACATTGAGAAAGACTAGACCTCACAGACAAACTCTCTTGTACTGTCATTTGCTTGTATTCAGAGCAGTGCCCAACTGCCCATATGACTGGATAGAAAGGGGGAAGAATGAAATCAGCACCCATATCCCAATACATTTATATAACCTCTGCACTGACTGAAGGCCACCTGTTGGTATACTCTCAAAAAAGGTACAAAACTGTCACTGGGGCGATAACTTTTTAAAAGGTACAGGTTTTGGGGTTTTTTACCGCTAAAGAGTACAAATTGGTATCTCAAAAGTACATATTAGTACCCTTTGAAAAGGTACCGCCCCAGTGACAGCTTTTGTGCCTTTTTTTCTGAGAGTGTAGGGTTGCACGATTAATGAAAATAAAACCATATTTATGCTATGGCTTAGTGTAATTATCAAATTGCAAAGGCTGAAATTAAAGTTAAAGTTTAAGCCTCTACCGCATGGTGTAGCCATATGGCAACATACTCTTTGTGTTCATTTCCTTGCCACTGTCTCTTTAAGAGAACATTCTAATTTTTTTTTGTTGGAAAGAGAAGACCTTAGTTTAGCCAATGATGTGCTTTGATAAAGTCACATGACATGCAGTTTTTTTTTCTGTGGCGAGATTTCTGACAGACTGCCGTCTCTTGTCGGTAGTTGCTGAAAGCAAACTAAAACGTCAGTAACAAACAAGGACCAGTCCGTGTCACTTCTACAAAAAAATCTAAAACATCACTGTTATGATGTTATGATGACATATTCACCTCTCAAAAAAGTTTTTATAAAATTTGTTTTTGGTAAATCATTCAACTGTATGTGTTGCCAAGCGGCAACACTGTGCAATAGTGGAATGACATTATTACAATAGTTTAGCTAGCTAGCAAGGTCAGCTGCAATTTGTTAAGCTGTAACAATAACAACATTAATACTAGTGAAATAATGTTGATTAGTCGTATGTTAATGGCATTTGTATTATGGATATAATCAAACTGAAATGGCAATTTTACTTTTGATTAAATATGAATACAGGTAACATTACATCAGTGAGCACGGCCATATTCTATGGCAAGGTAAAGAAGAAAAGGGCAGAACTTGCTCTTCCTGCAGATGAAAAGACTGCTTTGTGAAGTTTCATACAAAAAAAAATTTTCTTTCAAGGATTATTGGGGGGGGGAGATGTCATGCTCATAGTCTATCTCTCAAGAGATTGCATAATGCTGAATTTTCATGAACTGCAATGTTTTTGGTTTTATGTCAGTGTTTTATGATACATTATATACAGTATTATATTTGTTTTAACTGTATACATTTGCAGTTTAAATAATATTCATGAAAAATTTAATGAAATGAAAACAATTATAAATCATTATTCAGCAAAAAAAGAATAGAATAAATAAAAGTTGTTGGAAAGTATGTATAAGGTGTCAATTATAAGTAAGTACTGTGTTAAAGCTTATAATAGCACCAATTGAATCAACACAAACAACATTTCTGAGGAAAAATATTAATTATAAGTAAGCTTACACTTATTCTAAGTTAGATCCACTATTGTATGCTGTTGCCGTATGGCAACATATCATAAAGTACCTTCAAATAATATTTTTTTCCAATTTTTTTTTACAGCACTTGAAGTTAAGCCATTCTTAGAAAAGAAAAAGATTCAAATATTTTTTTCTATAGGTCTATCTAATGCGCGCGGTAGATTAAAGTTTAGTTTTTCAGATCTTAAGATTAAAACTAGTATTGTAATTGCATAGTTGTACTGTAAAATAAAATAATAATTATTATTATTATTGCCTTATTTTTGCTTAAACTTTATATTTAGCTAAATTATTTTTTGTCATATTGACATATAATTAGCATCGCAAACCAGGAGATAATAATAATAATAATAATTTTGTCATAAATATATATAAATAAATAAACAAATAAAAGTTTCTCAATAAGATCTCAAATGTGACAACAATTAAAATAATAATAATAATAATAATCATCATCATCATTCCAGTAGTCTCACATAGTCTCCTCTATAGTTTTATCAAGAGCTCAACGTCTCCAAACTGCAATCTTCAATCAAAATTAAGAGTTTTCAATATGAACTCAAATATATCATCATGCAAGCTATGTTATCAATATTAATTTAATTATTATTTTTGCTAGGAATTTTACACAAAAATCCAACATTACGTCATTACATAAACAAGAACTCAGCGCTCTGTAAAGCTCTCTATAAAAGCTATGAAAGAGCATCTTCTAAGCAATACAATTTTAAGGTTGCCACATCCTCTGCAGAGAAATGGAAAGACAGAATGAGATTATCGATGTTTGCATTCTTAAGTTTAAAGCAGCTCTTCAATTATACCAACTTAATATGTGTAGCATATGCTACGACATGCCTTAATACCTCTCTGCAACATAAAAACACATCTAGTGCCATTAAAGCGGATTCAGCTGCATACGACCCAGTTTACTGCACAGCCTGCTGTTTTGTAGCATTTCAACCATTCAATTATGCTAATATGAAGGTGTTAGTGCACAATGCTGAAAACATATCATTATTTAAGTCAACTTGGGTAAAGAGCAGTACTTCTGGATCAGAGAAGCGAATGTCATTTCTCTGACGTAATGAACAAAATGCGCAGGAACACAAAGGGTGCTTAGTTTGAAGTAGTTTGAAAGCCTCTTGTACACCAAGTGCATGCATTCACTGTGTTTTTTTTTTAATGAGTTCCTCTCCTTTTTTGCTCATTCTGAAGGCACTGACAGGCACTGAATGCGGGCAAAATTGCTCTGGCAGGAGCCGATCCAGCTCTTGCCTTTCGTTCATTATTTGTTTCAGATCAGAGAGAGATGTGGAGAGTCTATAGATCACAGTGTAAGCTCTACATATGCGTCCCTCTATCTCCAAGGCACACAGACACAGAGAGAGCCAACTTGGGTAAAGAGCAGTACTCCTGGATCAGAGAAGCGAATGTCATTTCTCTGACGTAATGAACAAGTTTGAAAGCCTCTTGTACACCAAGTGCATGCATTCACTGTGGGTTTTTTTTAATGAGTTCCTCTCCTTTTTTGCTCATTCTGAAGGCACTGACAGGCACTGAATGCGGGCAAAATTGCTCTGGTAGGAGCCGATCCAGCTCTTGCCTTTCGTTCATTATTTGTTTCAGATCAGAGAGAGATGTGGAGAGTCTATAGATCACAGTGTAAGCTCTACATATGCGTCCCTCTATCTCCAAGGCACACAGACACAGAGAGAGCGCAATTTACTAAGGCTGCTCTGAAGGATCAACATCACTTCAAAGAGGCCCTGGCTGAGTGTGGTGCCGCGTACGCCAGTGTGGGTAAACATGAGGAGATCACAAGCCCTCTAATAGCAGCCTGGATCTGAAGAGGTCCCCACCTTCTGCCTGCCTTTTAAATGTCTTACGAGCTTGAGACACAGAAAGAGACCTCCGCTCTCAAGTACTTATGTGCACTATTACTCTGAGTGCAGGCAAAATGCTCGTGCAAACACATAAGAATCATTGATAATACATTTTGTTAAACATACATTATGACTTATACGGAGATGAGTCGGGATCGATTTTTCACATACAGCTAAATATATTAAATTGATTAATGGCAACAGTGAGACTTTCAGAATACTGAAAATAATGTGTCAGTTTCCACAAAAAATATTAAGCAGTTCAACTGTTATCAACTCTGATAATAAGAAATGTTTCTTAAAAATGTTTTTAAAAAATATAAGAAATGAAATAAGAAAAAAAAAAGTTATTTAATGGCTGCTGAAAATACAGCTTTGCCATCCCAGGAATAAATTACATTTTAAAATATATTATGTTTCTTTATTAATTTTATTTTAAATTGTAATAATATTTCACAATATTGCTGTTTTACTTTGTTTTTGATCAAACAAATGCAGGCTTGAGGATCATAAGAAAATTATTTCAAAAACATTAAAAAAATCTTACAGACACCAAACGTTTGAACAGTAGTATACAGAATATATGCATTAGTAGTGTATAAATACACTATACATACACGCATGCAAAAAAAATTATATTTCCTAGCCTGTATTTCATATGGTGGTATTACATTTTCTACTGACACATCACCATTTCTACAGTATAATAATAATCCATAAACTAAATAAAATTACAATCACATTATAGTATATTCCTCTCTCTCAGTTTTCACTTGTGTGCCAGTTTGATTTACTTTTTGCATGTCTACAGAGGCCGACCCCTGGCCTATAGGGCAGGCCTTCTTAAAAAGTCTATTTTCAACCAAATGAGTATATGTTGTAATGTAATGTTTAGTAACTGTAAGCCTAATGTTTTTCTAATTTGTTTGGGCAAGTCTATCACAAGTGATTTCCTCACTTATTTGTTAAATTAAACCATCAAACAGTGGCTTAGATGCATATGTTGTGAGAAACAAAACCCTTGCTTGGATTAATAGCTGTAGATGTGATTAATTTTTTTTCAATGAATGCCACCTGATACACTTGATACATCCCTGAGAGGAAGTGTTGTAAATAAACCTCTACTTTAAAGCCAAATAAATACAACATTTAAGTTGAGAGATTAGTTTACATCCAGCAAAAACAATGATCTGATAACACTTGCCTTTTGTTTCTTGTGTTATCCTGAGAAGCATTTGGAAATCCTGATTCTTGATGCTCTCAGTTGCACTATAACCTTGTAAGAATCCAAAATGAGATGAACAACAGACCTCAGAGTGGGTAGCAAAGCATTCCTCCATTACATACATCAAGCTTCTCAACACCTAAAGACTCAAGAACACTGACATCTATTGGTTCAGGGGTTTAACTGCATGTGCTTAGGAAAAACACCATCTACATTTCTATCCAGAGACACTTCTTTTTATTTTTGTTTTGTATTTTTGTGGGGGATATTATTATTATCCACCACCCATACATACATACATTTATTTATTTATTAGTGAATAAGGATGCATTAAACTGATCAAATTTGACAGTTAAAGACAGTTATAATGTTACAAAAAAATTTAAACAAATGTTGTTCTTTTGAAGACAAACATATTAAGCCGCTCAACTCTTTTTTGACATTGGCAATAAGAAGAAATGTTTCTTGACCACCAAAGCCTGATGATATCTGAAGGATTACG